ACTATGCTACCAAACGGTAGTTGTACTCTGATGCATTCTGAGAAAATCTGGGTACTTATCCAATAGTGCCCTAGCCTTCATACACTCAATCCACCAGCTGTGTGGCATCAGCAGCACATGGGGCAATGTCCTCAGGGGTGTTCTACGGCAACGAAAACTGGGCAGAAGGCTGCCTAGCTAAACTGGTTATAAAACATGGAAGTCCTATTTATGTTGCAAAACAAAGTGTGCTGAGTCCATTACATGAAGACAGCCATGTTCCAGCCCCTGTCTCTTGGCACAGGCAAGACACTGTTTGCTGCCACGGCTATTAACAGTATTTTAATCAGGTAGTGTGAGGAGAGAGAGTATTTAGAACCAGCCATGGTAGTAATTAATTACTAACTCAGTTAAAAGTTGTAATTGGCAGGGCCTTACCTTATATGCTCCTTGGGCTGTGGACCTCTGTCTTTATCTGTCTTGGGTAGTTCTGAGTACACTGTCAGTGGTTGTAGTATGATATAATCTATTCAGTTTAGGAACACTTAAGATGCTAATTGTGCACACATCAAAAAATGGTCATGTGTCTCTTTAACCTTGTCTACACTAGGAAAATTAGCTCTTGCTGCAACAGGTATCAGAAATGGGTGCCATTCAGTGGTGCGCAGTGAAATTGTTTAGGCATACAGCAACTTTTTAGATGACAGATGAAACAATTTATTTTCTAAAAACCTACCCCAAGCAATTAATAAACCAGATACATGTGTTTTGGCAAATACTAGTAGTCGAATATAATGAAAGCTGAGAATATACAAATATGTGATTATCTAACCTTTCTGTTGAAACTGAAAATCCACTCTTCTATCTTTTTTAAGAAACTCCAAGGTGTAGAAATCTGGTAAGCTGCGCAGATACATAAGCAATTCCCTTTTGATGATCACTCAAGCCAATTTGGACAGGCATTTGCTGTGCTGAGTGCTGTATGTGAATGTCTTAATGCACTTTGAAGCTGAAAAAGACTGTTCCATCGTGGCAGTAGAGTAGGGAATAGTCAGAATGAAGGCATCTGACTTGTTGACCTCAGACAAGCAAAGTATGTAAATCCAGCATATGAATAGCTCCATACAAGTCCAAATTCAGCTTTCCCTTGGAGCTGTTCTGAGTTGTATACAGCAAACAGTTCGGAGTGCAACTGACTAATATAAAAAATACTGAGGTAACGTACTTGCAGAGATATGAGACTATCAACTGGAAAATGTGTATGGAGCTCCTTGAATCTTTTTGGAGAGATTCAGGTTTCTCTACACTTTCAAATCATACTGACATCTGTTTGCTGACATTGTCAGTAACCTCAAAGAAGAGACGCTTACATGTTGCTTGGCCTTCTCTTGCTCTCCTTTCCTGAGGTTCAAGTGCATCTTGCTCTGACAGCTCTTTCCCAAACTCATCAAAAGTTTGTCGCTTTGGTGAATTTATTCTGTCTCACGAATCTGCTGAATACAAAACCCAGTATTGTCCATCTTGGTTTGAAGAACATCAAATAACTCTCCTGTCACTTCAAATATGTCACTCCAGAGGCAAAGAAGAAACATAAACTGAAAATCATCAAGCATGGTCAGGAAAGTCTTGGCTGAGGTGAAAGACAAGCATTCCAATCTGCTAGATTTTGCACTACACTTTTGAAGAGTTCGATCAGAGCTTCTTTGCTCTGCTTAACAGTTTATACAAGCCTTGAGTGAAAATTTCATCTTGTGGTACAAATAGAAGGCAGGCTTCGTTTAGATACTTTCAAAGAAGTTCAGCTTACTTTGGAGATCAAGAGAAAAATGAAGATATTCCTTCTAAATTTTTGAAAAGAATCAGTCATTCTCTGATACTGTATGCTGCAAAACTGAGGGCAGGATTTAAAAAATGAGCATAGCAATGAACAAGAAGTGCACAGGGGAACTTTTCACAAATGTGTTTCTGAAGTCCACTTATGTGACCTCCACTTACTGCTGCGTCATCGTATGTCTGAGCTACCAACTTGTCACTGAATGTAAACTTCTGGCACACCATTTCAACATAGTGATAAAGGCCAGCCGTAGTTCAATTGTTGCTAACTTCAGGAAAACCAACCAAGCATTCTGTAGCATCACCATTCTTGCTCACATAATGCAGTATATGAGCTGAGACTTACTGGCGATACCTGAGGTTTCGTCCAGTAAAATAACAAATGGCATTCCTCAATTTCTTTGACAATGACATTAAATTGGACATTAGTTACTGCTTTGATGAGGTCATTTTGAATTCTGTTTGATGTTCCCAAAAAAACAGTAGAGGTTTCCAGATGCTGCTTGAGTAAATGATTGAACTCACTGACTAATTCTAAGATTTTTACATAACTGCTCTGTCTCAGAGAATCATCTGATTTGTTATGCCCATGAAATGCCAGCTCTTGTTCTCCAAGATGACCTACAACGCAAATTAGTTGTTGTCAGAATCAGGCTATTTAGCAAATTATTTCATGTGTTGTCTCACAGCAGTTCTCTGTTGCTCATCTAAGTGAAGATCAGTGGAAGCTTGTCCCAATGTTTGTAACTGTATACAGGGTGCTAGGTGTTTCTGGCTATTTCATGATGTCTACATTTTGTACATTGTTAGGTCATTGTATCATGCCTTATTCCACGCTTTCTTTTCCTTGACAAAAAAGTAGACAGGGCCAGCATTATAGCTTGTTTTTGCACACCTACAGATCCATTCACATTTATACATTGCTTCGCTGAAATGTGATTTCATATCTTTTCCTGCTTTTCTGTAAGAACTCACTAATTGCAATTTTGGTTTTGACCATCCATTTACTATTATTTGTTTTAATTTAGTTACTTGCACTAAATTAACTAATTTTGTACTAAACTGATTAAGAGTTTAAGCCACTAGCTTTGGTCTATCACAGATGATTCGTTTGTACACTTGCATGCTTTGTATATTCAATTGTACTCTTGCAGTGGGAGTTCTCTCTGGCTTGGTCTCAGCTGTAGGATAGTACTGGTGAGGAAAACATAGTAACAGTGATCACTGCCATCCCCTTCCTGGGCATACTTGATATTCTCTTTATTTTCCACACTTGTGTTTTGCCATTAATGAGACACTATTCCAGCAACCTGCGTGGAACTTTAATCTATGCCTTCGGCTTTTACAGAGAAATAATGTTTTGTAAAGTGCTGGCGAGTCAGAGTATATGGTACAGAACAGAGAACAGAAGAACGTAAGCATATAAAAAGACATTTTTCAAGGATGCACTTTAAAACAGGAAAAGGATCAGGTGTGCTAATGAAGTGGAAATAGTAGGGGGGACATCTTGGTTTTTAAGCACCATAAATATTTAAGTAGATTTTGTTTTAGAAAACAGTAAAGTTTCAAATTAATTATGTATATAACTATCTAGGGGCTTTGTTTAACATGGCAGTTGTGCATATAATTTGTCTATAGTGTGCTATATGAATTTCTATGTTCCTCTGTCAACAAGAAAATTTAACAGAACTTGGCTAGTGGCTACCACTGACTGACTGCTGCTTATCTTGGTCCCACTCTCCAGCACATACCTAATGTATTCAGTTACACATTTGCATGCCTGATGTTCCACAAAATGGCGTCCTCCACGCAGTGTTTTCTTGCATGTGTGGTACAAGCTAGGTCACACTGTGTGGAGGATTGATTTTAAAATGGCATCTTCCATGCTTGTTTGGGCAATGGGTCTGGACAGAATGGAACCACAGGCAGCTAGTTTTTCTGGGGCATACAGTGCATACATTGCATGCATGGATGGCACACCCCTGGTGCAACTGAACCAGGGCTGGACTTAGTTAACCGCAGTGGTAGATAAGAACAAACAAGGTTCAGTTGTAGTTCATAAATGGTGAGTAAGCCCAGGATTTCTGCAAGTTTACAGAAAGGGGGTTTAGAGCAAGAAGCATTTATTAATATTTCTTATTTGCCTATTAGTATTTCAGCTGTTTTAAGTTTCATGTAATTGAATAATTTAGATTTTTTTTAATTTCACTAGTCTGTGCTCCCTGTGACACAGAAATCCTGCCAAATGCAATGCTTTCTTTTGCTCTGAATTAACTACAAGTTGTATGGCCGTATAGATATGAAATGTATGGCCACATAAATATGAAATGTACAAGTGCTGTTTCATTGGATGTATGCCATATTTCATAAGGCTATCGAGATTTAACTCTTGTCAAGGTATATCCATTTTTCTTCTGTTTACTGATGATGGAAATGCATCATCATTAGTAGTTGGCAAGTGAAATTACAGCACTAAAGATGAAGTTGTTTCTGATCTAGCAGCTTCTCAATCCTGAATCACAGATTTGGAGGGAAAAATATTTAAGGAATCAATCAATTGTAACTTATTTTTTTAGAAATGTGTTATACACACAACCTCTGACAACTTGATCTGAACACATCAAAAACTTCTCTTAGTTGCAAGTACTGCAAAGAAGGCAAATTTTTCCAGGGGAACATTTATTTCTTCAAGGTGAAATGTAAATCTGCTTTATGAAAGAATCTAGCAAACCTCCCACCCCACTTCCTAAATCTCACTACTTCATTTAGTGTTCAAAAAACAATGTGTGGGGTCCATTTCTCCCTCTACATATGTAGTCCAGAGATTATTAGATTTCAGATCATGTTATTGCTTGACACTTCAATTGTGCATAATAAGGAACCTTCAGTATGAGCACCAGTGAAACTGTATAGTATTTTTCTTTTCTAAAGGTGCTTATGTATGATTAGCCCAGGTCCTGCAAAAGGTTGGAGCTTGAATATAGAGAGGTCTGTATTTTACAATGTGAAGTCATGGTTGATATCTGTAATAACAAAGCTTCATGGTTGTGTAGGTATTTATGAAAAAGATGGCATGTCAAGAAGCAGTTTCAGGCTGTATGTATGTGAATGTATTCAGCTTCATTCTTAGCATTATTGCTGCTTTATTTTTAAAAATTGTAATATATTACCATTTTTGTTTGTCTTAGGTCTCCGGGTAACAGTGTTGTTAACATCCTTTCTCATGGTGTTAGGAGCTGGCCTAAGATGTATACCACTGTCAGACCTAACAATAAGAAAAAAGTAAGTGGAGAATGAATATATATATATATATATATATATATATATATATATATATATATATATATATATATATATATATATATATATATATATTTTGGCGTGTTTTAAATGTCCCTGTTTTTGCTGCTGTTCCAATGCACAGTAATGTCAACACAGGTTTTCCGTATCAGACTCTGATATGTAGAAATACCCATTAAATTTAAACTAGCTGTAACACTTTTTTCTTTGTTTCTCAGAATCGATTTTAGCATAATTCTTTTACATGGTATCTGAGGATTGCAAAGCACTTTATGAACTTCAGTTAATTAAGCCTCACAGCACCCCTTGAAGATAAGCATTAATCTTAGTTTTACATATGAGAAAACTGAGGTATAGAGAGGTTAAGAAACTTGCCCAAGATCATACAGTTAATTGTTCCACATGAAATAAAAATACAGTATTTATTTGCAAATGTTAAATAAGTAGCTTACATTTTACGTATTGGACTTCTGAGGTCAAACACTGAGGCAAATGAACTAATATGAAAGTGCCCCCTTGCATACAGTATATTACAATTGTCATTCCTAGAAAATTTATATTTTAAAATTACTTGCTTTCTATGTTTTTGAAACGTGTGCTTAGCACATGGGCAATGTCAGAGTTGGGAATAGAAAGTAGTACCTTAATAAAGCCACATAAATCCAAACTGTTCAGTTGTGCCTTTCTTTAGAATGTCTTGAATTTGGAAGCCTGTCCATAGTACTGGATAACAAGTCCTATTTTTATGGTCATGCTAAATGACCATTTGTTGTTCAGCCATCTTTATTTGTCTGTATTTAATACACTCTTGCCAATAAGAGGCAGCATAGTAATACATCTATACAATACATTTCTTTTTCTTTAGAAAAGTATAGTAGCATTGACTTTTGAGTATTTGTGTGTGTGTGTGTATCTTACTATCTAGAAAAGAAGTTAATTTTAAATGATTTTTTGGTCTGGAAGTGTCTCCTTGCTTTAGAAACTCAGTGGTGTGTTTAACTTCATGTCTCTTTGCTTTCAATAATAGGAACAGGACAGTTGACTTTCTCTAGGACCACAGGTATTTGCTCTTTGTGGATCATTCAGCAGAGAACAATGAAATAAAAGGAACTTTTTTAATTCTCCTAGCCTTGCTCCTGAATTTCAGCCAGCCATGTGCTAGTGCAGAGTACTTGCATTGCTCCAAAATGAAATATCAATGTGGAAACTTTTTTGCTGAGGAAAGAACAGTGGCTTTTATTTTTGAAATGCCATGTACATTGTAGGGCAGAGATTTACAGACTGCAAATCAGGTAAGTTGTAAAGAGAGAGTTGGATGGTTCTGGGGACAGCTAATGAGATGAGACATCTAGGTTATTGATTCTAACTGAGACCAGGTCAGTAGTGAGTAAAGTTACCATAACCTGATGACTAGTTTAGTGACCTAGGTGTAATGTGTTGATGATTTCATTCCAATTCTCCTATGACAATTATGTATATTACAAAAACCATAGGTACCTCTGATATTAACCATCTTTGTTGCTAGTTGCAGCAGGTTATTCAAGGATTGAAAGGGCTGTGAAGTGAGGTTGAAGCATGTTGTCAAGGCAGCATGGGGGGGAGTTCTTGCTGATTGCCCATGCTGTACCTGTTCTGTGGATATGTAGCTGTACGCAGTCTACAGCTCTGTCAATCCTGTATCTCTCACCAGCACCAAAAATTAAATATTACAAAAATGTGTCAAATAGTTTAAATGCAGTGGAGTGAAATATTTTGTACTCTTCCACTTTTAATCTGCTTTAGTAGGGTTACAAAGCACATAAGCACCAGAGATAATGTATTCTCAAACTGCAGGGTTACTTGTGGAACAAGTTTCTTGAGAAGATCAGATTAATTAAATCAGCCTTTTTGAGTAAACTTTTCCACCATGTCCACAATGAAGGGAAGAGGGGGGAGAAAAAAACCCACTCCCTTATAGGTATTTTTTTTCACCAAGAGCCTCTTAAATTAGAGAAGGGAGAGCAGCTGAAGACTCAGTGAAGACCAATAAGGACCTCATCATCCATATCTAATTTATCAGGGAAGCTCTTAGCTATTGTGGTGAGGTGTGCTACTGAAAACCAATAGATCGATCGGTAGCCTGAACAGAATCCTGATGGAGTAGGTTACTTATTTCATTTGTTTGTGCTGTGAAAATATATATCATCTCAAATTGAAATTGATAAAATTGCTAACTATTTTGCCTGTTCTATCAAAGTAGAGAGGGTTTGTTTTTTTTAGGAATTACAGCTCTACCTATGGAAATCGTTTGATCTTTTAGATTGTGTGATAAAAATATACACAGGATTAATTATTTCCCAACTGTGAAAAAAGGCTGTTCTTTTTATTGTAGATTTCTTGTGACAGCATAACTGTTCACACTGTACATGTAGCTATCTGCTGTTAACTCTGCATTTTGAGGCAGAAGACTGAAAGCCAAGTTACATCACTTGAGAAATCTTTTATCCAGTAAAATTGTGCTTATTGAAGTAGGCATTCTTGGTTTATACAGTTTTTTGTTTTTTAAATTTTGTAACAGTTGGCTGTGCCCTCAACTGTGTAGTTATTCCAAATACGTATGTACAGTGTGTATGGTAACACCCATTGTTTCATGTTCTCTATATATATAAATCTCCCCACTGTATTTTCCACTGAATGCATCTGACGAAGTGAGTTGTAGCTTACAAAAGGTTATGCTCAAATAAATTTGTTAGTCTCTAAGGTGCCACAAGTACTCCTTTTCTTTTTAAGATTAACAGGTTATGCTTTGGCAATACTTGAATAGTTTGTTGTTCCACAAATAAAGTTGTCTTGAATTGAAGACTGATTTTCTTCTTTATAATGCCTATTTTAGAAGGTGGTATAAGTGAAATTCTTTTTAACATTTTTGAATATTCTGTAATGATATTATTACAGTCCAAGGAAGAAGCTATAGAAACATATGTAATGGTTACCCATGGGAGAGTTGCAATGATGATATGATGAATAGAATTAGAAGAATGGTTTCTGGGTTTTTATTTTTATTTTTTTTCAGTCTCGGCTTGGCCTTGTAGACTTTCCATCCCAAAAACTTTGGCAACGTAGTATTAAGGTTGCTCAAGCACATTTCCTATCAAAGCTGTCACTAAAAATCGAGGAGTTCCATCCACACTGACTCACATGCTTTACTACATAAACAGTATAATCCCCAAATATAGAGTCCACAACAAACTCCTCAGTTCTAATGTGTAACCACCCACAATGTACATGTCCAATACCTCAAAGTCACACTCAAACAAAACTTAATACTGACCTCAGCTGACATGTGTCCTATATGCATAGGCGTAGTGGTAAAGTCTGTAATGTGACTTGCATGTGAGAAAGTCTGAAGTCAAAATTAAGTTTATATGACTGAGGAATTACATTATGGATCTGTTCCCAGGACAGCTGATCCTTCTGGTGAACCTACAAGAGGGGGATCTGAGTGCATTAGCAGGACTGTCAAACTAGGACTCCATGCCAAAGATTAATAAATCTAACAGAGGCTGGACTGAAGCTCATGGATGAAATGGAGAGGTGTGTATATATAGTGGCATGAGACTTGTGGACCCAGGGTACACAGTGGTGCTAAGGATTGGTGGTCTCTCACGCCTATGTAGTTAGGATGTAGTAAATGTAATATCCATTATTACATTTAAAGAACAAAAAATCCTCCATTAAATTTATGTAGGCTCAGACCAGACACATCTAGACTTTCTCAGATAATTGCTGTTGTAAGTGTCAGGGATATTATGGTAAATTTGTAAAATTGTAAAAAGGTTATTTAAACAAATTTCTAAATGTGATGAAAGCCTCCACATCTCTTATATGCATATTTACATTGGGTTTCTTCTTATCTTTTCAGTTTGCATTGAATCTAAAATATTTTTGATTGATGTGAATGCAAAATTTTCTCCATCCAGTAGACATCAATATTTATTCTACTTGTAAAAACAGACTAAAGAATTTTAAATTTTGTATGTAAAATGGAAATTCTCTGTGGATTTTCTTCTTTATTTTTGTTTCAGAAGTGTTTCAGTCCAGAAACACTTGTCTACAAGGGAAAGATTTTACCAGCTATGCTGGTGTAATTATACCCACATAGTTACACCAGAATAAATGTGTTCGCATGGACACACTTATAACTCTGTTAGTTTAATAGTGGCTTTTTTTAGATTAGCTTAGAACCCATCCAAAGTGACATAAACCAAATAGGGGAAAATATGCTGTTACACTGGAATAACAGCATACACAGAGGGAGTTATACCAGTATAATTATATAGCTATAAATCGCACCCTAGCTGATACAGGTATAGTTTGTCATGTAGATAAGCCCTAAGATCCTTCATGGTTGATTTGGATTTGAGTGTCAGTCTCAGGGCATGGAGGGTCATTAGAGAAAATTGAGCATTGGGCAATGCCTGCCTGTCTGAGGAGACATGGAGTTCTTCTGTGTTATAAACTTTACCTCTTGGAAGCTTAGAGTACTGTTTAACAGGAAGGTGCAGTGTTTTACGGACAAGTGCCAACCATTTTATGTCTTAACTTCCAGGAGTGCTAAAATGCTTAATACAAAATGATCAATGGCTCCATGTCTAGTTGGCAGCCGGTATCAAGTGGAGTGCCCCAAGGGTCGGTCCTGGGGCCGGTTTTGTTCAATATCTTCATAAATGATCTGGAGGATGGTGTGGATTGCACTCTCAGCAAATTTGCGGATGATACTAAACTGGGAGGAGTGGTAGATACGCTGGAGGGGAGGGATAGGATACAGAAGGACCTGGACAAATTGGAGGATTGGGCTAAAAGAAATCTGATGAGGTTCAATAAGGATAAGTGCAGGGTCCTGCACTTAGGATGGAAGAATCCAATGCACCGCTACAGACTAGGGACCGAATGGCTAGGCAGCAGTTCTGCGGAAAAGGACCTAGGGGTGACAGTGGACGAGA